AATTCCAGGCGCTAAAAACATGTCAATGCATCAATTGCTATAGGCAACCAACATTATACGCGACAAACTTCAGTTGTTTTTAAAATTTGGTAATAAAACTCACTTTTATAAATAAGATTATTTCAAAAAGTAGATATCAACGCCACACAGCGCATGGATAACAACAAAGATAAACCGTTACAGTAAGTGTTCAAAATGATTTCCTTCTATTTCTAATTCTAAACATTGAGCTAGAGATCTCGAACAGCATAATATATACCGCATTCCTGAGAAAGTGAGGATACATTTCAGCACACTTGGTATGGTACGAAGGTATGCGATCTTTTAATTGGTTTGTTTTTCCACCTAGATGTTATTATAAATTTTTGATTTTAGGCAACCCCACAAGTCAATGGGCCACAAGTTTGCAGAGCGTGGTGCCCATGGAATAGGCATAATATAACACAATATACTAGGCATCCATTTTCCATTTGACACCATGCTTCAATGATGTTCAAACTTTCTATTGTTGGAATCGCGGTGAAATGCGGTTCCCAACGTAGCATAAAATATGCAATTTTAAATTTGGAGTCAGCACATGATTGGTTGTGATTCTATAGGTATTTATGGGAACTTATTTTTTATTTATTTTCCTTTGACGTCCGCCATTTTTTCTCAGCAAAAATACCACTGACTTGTATTAGTCCAGGCAACGAATGAATATGCCCGGTATGGTTGGAAGTGGAAGGTTTGACTTCAGAACCTTGTTTGGACCCCTTAGGAGGTAACCATACTCAAAGTCCCCAGGATTCCGACTGGAGCCTTACCGGGGGGAGGGGCGCAAAGGTCAACATTTTCTGTTTTTCGCTGATATCTTGAAAACGGTGCGTCTAGGAAAAAATTGTTTAAGAGCAAAATCAAAGCTCATAAAATTGTGATTGATTTTGATTGTATACACTTTTTTGAAATTCCCAACCGTTTCCGCGATATAAGCTCCAGAAGGCCGGAAATTTTTGAAAAATTGTTTTTACCCACGCGTTTCGTCAAACATTCCTTATATCCTGTGAACCGATTATCTGAGAAAAAATCCGCCGACGAAAAAGTTGTAAAACATTAAATTTCCTTTCCGAAAATATGGCTCCTTTCCAAATTGTCGTAACCAGTCAAAAGTTACAGCAGTTTTAAGATTTCCTGAAATTTTTCATCATCTTCTATATGCAACAATTTCAATGATTTGTCACCTACACTCTTGCTATTTTTCATTTTAACTTCTATTTATGATATAAGGACAGTAAATGGGCACCCAAGTGGGTAATATGTCCAGGAAAAATTATTAATAATATTACGTGATAAAATTTCAATAATAGAATGGATTATTCGCTGTCATTAGCAGTAGACGTGCAAGGTTAGTACATTGTGGACGTGGACCTTTTGAGTCTCTTCGGGCGGGATGGGGCGGGCTGTTCTTCCTCGAGTGGAGCGTCTTCCGGTGAAATATCCACAATTTCGACATCGTATTTATGTCCTCTTCGCCATCTTCCTCTTCCTGGAGAGGTATCCCATTCAAACAATTTCCGTGGCAATTGTGGCAGATGGTTGAGCATCGCATGGAGGCCTTTTTGCACCCACATCTCGCAGAACTGCAGTCTGTCGTGCATCTGCAGAAAATACAGTTTCCATAAGGTTTGTTTTGAGAGAATCTCGACCGTATAGAACGGGTTTTTGCATTGACTTCAGGTGCACATTAAATACAACTACTATCGGTCGCGTTATGAACTGCTTTTGATTTACGACTTATGGCCTTAAATGACTTACATTGGTGAGCGTACAGACTTTACCTCGCCTTGCCCTCACCTCAGGTAATAATCTTCGATTTTTTGTCTAAATTACCCACTTGGATGCCTATTTATTGTCCTTATATCATAAATGGAAGTTAAAATGGAAAATAGCAGGTGCGTAGGTGAAAAATCATTGAAATTGTTGCATATAGAAGATGACGAAAAATTTCAGGAAATTTTAAAACTGCTGTAACTTTTGACCGGTTAAACGATAATTTGGGAAGGAGCGATATTTTCGGAAAGGAAATTTAATGCTCTACAACTTTTTCGAAGGCGGATTTTTTCTCAGATCATCGGTTCACAGGATATAAAGGAATGTTTGATGAAAAACGTGAGGTAAAAACCGATTTTTCAAAAATTTCCGACCTTCCGGAGCGTATATCGCGGAAACGGTTAGGAATTTCGAAAAAGTGTATCAAAATTGTAGACAATTTTATGGGCTTTGATTTTGCTCTTAAACAATTTTTTCCTAGACGCACCGTTTTCAAGATATCAGCGAAAAACAGAAAATGTTGACCTTTGCGCCCCTCCCCCCGGGAAGGCTTCAGTAGGAATCCTGGGGACTTTGAGTATGGTTACCTCATAAGGGGTCCAAACAAGGTCCTGAAGTCAAAACCTTCCGCTTCCAGCCATACCGGGCACACCCCCCTTTTAGCACTCGTTGCCTGGACTATATACAGGGTGACAATTTGAAAACTTACCACCCCTCATATCTTAGTAAATAAACGAGATATTTAAAAAATCAAAATCCGTTTCGGTAATTCGGAGGGGGAATCACAATAACATAGTTGGCGACGCACCCCCTCCAACCCCCTGCGCCCCAGCCACCCCAACTTTTAAATCTTAAATAGTGACCCCCATGTGTGATACGTCGTTGGAAAGCTCTGAAAAAATGCTTTCCAACCATACCAAATAGCATTACATTTAGGTTAGTAATTATCGTGCAAATCAAAAAATACACTAATATGATACATTTGAAATCTGTCGTATTTAAAACGCAACCGGCGAACATAGACGAACTAAGACAGAGAATAATTCAAGAATGTCGAAATATTGCAAAACCAACATTTGAAAAGGTTCGACAAGAGTTTGAGAATAGATTATACCTGGCGATCAAAAATGAGTTGCTGTCGAGTCGGCTTTGGAAGTTGAAGTTAAATACGATTTTCCATGTTTATTTTTTGATTTGTACGATAATTACCCTGTATATTATATACAATTGTGGAAAATACTCCCCGCTTTGACGCTGGCAACAGCTGTAAGCGCTTTCAGGATACTTCGTCCAAAAGAAGCCTCATACAGAAGCTGCGTATACATTATCCGAACCGAATGTGACCTAATGTAACATGTAATGTAACAAATTCGTGTAGTTGAGATAGTACCTCGAGCACAAGCGATCAGATTCGCAGCGTGCTCACTGCTCACCCGCTCCACCAAGTCGGTTTTTGTGACGAACACAAAGAGATTTGATCGCACAGTTGGGGCGTCTTTTAGTACTTCTGAATGTTCGTACCGTGCCCGAATCGATCGGAGCACGACAAAACGAATACGCAATAACCCGTTCGTGCTCGTTCTGTCAAAAGTGGACGAACAATGAACGAGCATACATTACACGTTCAGTTAGGATTAGGTAACCTTAATTTGACATTCAGCCCTGTGATGTACCAGAAATGCCAAACTTAACGTGCAGGTTATCTGCCAAAAAACGTTATTTTGCCTATATAGGAATGTGGTAGCCTCCGGCAAGAACTTACTGATGGTGGAGTCAAACGCAAATTTCGGTCGAACAGGACATCGGAAGTGGGCTGCTGGGTTTTTGTTACTCGGTGACTTCATATTTGATAGCTAACATCTTTTCATATCTACAGTTCGCTCAAATTCATCAAAAATAAATCCGATAGACTTAATTCTACTTAGACCAAATTGACATTTTTCTCCATTGAACCAAAGAATATTATTAGTTACTCTTTGATTGAACTTAACATTTTGTTTCTTAGCTAATTCTAATACATTGAAGAATCGTTTGTCATGTTTTAACTTTGGTGAGCCATACACGATACACGACAAAATTGTCGATAAGTATATGTTTGGACACCTTCCAAGCTAAATATTTGCTTAAATCTCTTATGAACTGTGTACTGTATGTACTCTGATTTGATGCCATACGGTAAACGTAAAAAATCTACAAAAACAATAGTGCAGTTGAATGTGCATAAATGGCTACTTTCCTCACTACACTACTTCCTTTAGTGCTCAAAAACCTTTTAGAAGCATCCAATTTACTAAAAAAAGTCTAAGGACGGTAATTGAAAAAGTTCGCGTTTAATTCCTCTGTTTAAATCTCTAGGATCTATGCAAATTCTAACTCTGTTACTACAGGTCACCAATGAGTTTACCCAATCAGTAGCAGTAGTGGAGCGAAATCTACTCGCTAGCTCGCTTATTTTACGAGATGACCGACAATGGCGTAGAATCAGGCGATATGTATATCAATCGATAGGTCTCATTACATACTAAAATTACAACTGTTTTGAGTAGGTCAGAACTTTTTTATTAGCGAAAAACGAAAAAGAATTGCAAAAATGAAATCATGTTTCTTCATAGAAAACTCGCTATTTATTATTTTTGAATAAAGCTTTTGCTAATTTGACAGCGGTAGCGAACAGACGAATCCAAGTCGTTCTACTAGCTCTGGATTAATTATTTTCAATGAGTCAGAATTTGACCTTAGCGTTAATACTCGATACTCGTATGCAGTTTTTCCCTAATTTACTTTATTTACATAGTATGAACCAAATTCTACTTACGCCGCGATCATTACTTAAATCTAATTTTCTTCCTGATTCATCATGGCGGCCATATTTAAAATCCAAATTCGGCTACAATGAACTGAAATAAATAATTTCCTTTTGATGCATTAATCTCATACATTCACATTCGCACTTGTGAGTCATGGTTATATTTTAGACTTGAACATTTTAATAATGTTACAATCATCATCCAAAAGTTTCAGTGCAGCAGCAAATACCATTGACAATGCGAACAATGGAAAATTGAAAGAAATGAACGTGTGCAAATACAAGCAGTATCTACATACCCACTTCCAAAAAGGGAAAAACCATAACGCTCGCGAAGGAAATGGCACGTGGAAATGGATTCGTCTTCATCAATATGAGAAATAAACCCATTTAGATGCGATTTTATTTTTGATTTCTATTTAGAACAACAAGAATTTAAAAATTTACTTTCACGATCTATATTGATTATCAATTCCTTTTATAAAATTTAAGTGTTTTGAAACCCAAGTATAGGTAGCATAATAATTTGGATTACAGGTCGCATGTCCCTCTACTGTTTCTGTAGGACTTATGCTCACAATGCCTCTAATGTAATATCGATTTTGATGCCTTTGAAATGTCAATCCACCTCCACTGTCACCTTGACAAATTGATTGCCCTAAAAAAAAGTGTAGCATGTGTGATTACTTTTTCGTTTTTCTCTGTCTCACCTTTATTTAGATATCCTGCACATATTTTGTCATAAGTTAAATATTTTTTAAAATCAGTCGGAACAGCGGCATAACAATCTGAGTACGGTATGAATGGCACCGATAATTCACGTAGTTCTGAAGATGCCTCCTGACTAGTAATACTTGTTCTACCCCAGCCGACAACCTGCAAACAGTCTAGATTTAAGCAAGTGTAATTAATGGTAAATGGCCAATGATCTGTTCGTGTCATGTTTATTAACGAGTGATAAAAAGCGAGTGAAGAAAGATGCATTTTAGTAATCAAGTATGTATAGAACAGATTTGAAATAAATAGAAGTTTGTCAATACAATAAAATTGATCGATTATAGAATATTCTCTTTTTCGTGAATTATCTTTTTACACACGCGGTTAAACTATCAACGGGTAGTTGTAGTCCCTAGCCGCATCAACTAGAACATTTTTGGTGACCCCGACGTGATTTGTGAGTTGTCGAATAATTCGAAAACCTGAAAACCTATGGATCGATTAGAGAGAGCGCGTCGTCCTGTCAGGCGGCAGTTGAAGAAGTTGTGTGAAGACATAAACGTTGAAAGCCAAAATACTATTCCGGATTTGGATCAGATGCGTGTGAATGTATTAATGTTGGAGGATACTCATCGGGAATTGCAAACATTGGACGATACGATCAAAAACCAAATGCTTGACGACAACGTGGACGATGATCAACAAAATGAAGAATTTGATGATATTGCTCAATATAAGAAAATGTTTCAAACAGCAAGGCGAGTGTTTGAAGTGCTGAGAGATGAAAATTGCAAATCCATAACTGAAAATGAGAACTTGCCAGTATTGGGTAATCAAAGAAATTTTAAATTGCCAAAATTTAACTACAAAAAGTTTAACGGAGAAGTCAAAGAGTCGTTAGGATTTTGGAGTCAGTTTAAAAAGATAGACGAAGACATTACCATACATGACAGTGACAAGTTTCAATTTTTGGTACAATTGATGGTAGATGGGTCCCGTGCCCATGAATTGGTGTGTAGTTATCCGCAGACTGCAGAGAATTATCCCAAAGCCGTAAAAGCGTTGAAAGAGAGGTTTGGGAGAGAAGAATTCTTGGTTGAAGTTTATGTGCGTGAAATGCTAAAATTAATTATTCACAATGTCAGTCAAACTGAAAAACAGGATGATTTGTCAAAACTTTATGACCAGTTGGAAAGTCATTTGCGTGCATTGGAGTCGTTAAAAGTAACTTCAGACAAATATGACTCAATGTTGTATCCGATGGTGGAGTCCTGTCTGCCCGCTAATATATTACAAGCATGGCAAAGAAGTGCGGAGTGGAAGGGAAGGATGCTGACAAAACCACAAATAAGTTGAATAAATTGATGCAGTTCTTACGTATGGAAGTTGAAGGTGAACAACGAATTTCCTTGGCTCAAGAAGGTTTTGGTTTGGCTTCAAATCCTTCGAATAAAGTAAAAAATGTAATCCAGAAAAAAGTTGAGAAAATTCCTACGGCAATGGAACTACACTCTGGAAATGTTAAAAGCTCTTGTGGATTTTGTGAAAAGAGTCACGATACTCAAGATTGTTTCATCGCACAAGGGTGGTCACTAGAAGACAGAAAACAGAAGCTTAAAGAGACAAAACGTTGTTTTACTTGCCTACGATTTGGTCATAGATCAAAATCTTGTAAATATCGAGTGAAGTGTATCGTATGTAGTAAGAGACATTATGTAATTTTATGTACGTCGTTGAAGTTAGCATCAGCTTCAGAAATGAGAAACGAATTTTTACAGTGGACCATATAAATACTTCGAAATTATAATTTATTACTAAAAAAAATAGGGTTAAAGGGTTAGTACTCAATTGTCAAAGATATAACTTTGCAAATATTTAAAATATAAGGGTATAATCTACCCTACACTAAAAACAAAACATTAAAAAATTCTTAGAGGGTAGAAAAAAATTTGTAACAAGTTTATACTTAAATTAACATTAGATACTAATATAAGAAGTGCTATGAACGTATAGCTTTGCAAATATTTAGAGTTTAAGGGGTTAATCTACCCTACACTAGTAAAAACATTAAAAAATTCGTAGAGGGTGGAAAAAAATTTGTAACAAGTTCATACTTAAATTAATATTAGATACTAATATAAGAAGTGCTATGAACGTATAGCTTTGCAAATATTTAGAGTTTAAGGGATTAATCCACCCTACATTAGTAAAAACATTAAAAAATTCGTAGAGGGCGGAAAAAAATTTGTAACAAGTTCATACTTAAATTAATATTAGATACTAATAAAAGAAGTGGTATGAACGTATAGCTTTGCAAATATTTAGAGTTGAAGGGGTTAATCCACCCTACATTAGTAAAAACATTAAAAAATTCGTAGAGGGTGGAAAAAAATTTGTAACAAGTTCATACTTAAATTAA